GGGGACATCGCCCTGCAGGCCTGGACGCGTGTGACAAAAGTACCATCGTCCGATGGGAAGAGGACCTACACAGGTTCCCACCTTATCAATACATACCTCGCAACTGTGTGGTCAACAAACGCGGTGAGTACAGACTCCCGAAACATCCGTGAAAGGGAGTATATGATGGGCCTACCGGTGGGGTACACGCAAGTGTGCATGCCATAAGTCCATGAGGAAGCACGTCGATTGCATTGACAAGCGGCTGACATTGGTTGGAAATGCCTGGGCAGTGCCAGTGGTGAGCTGGCTACTGGCTCAGCTTGTCGGACCCCGGGGGGCTGGACCCCTGCTATCTCCTGCTGAGATTCTCTCTCGGCTCACGTTGGAAGGAAACCCTTCATCCAGTCCCGACTGATGCGACCACCGCTGCAGACAGATCAACAAGCAAGTGCTGTTTCTGAGGAGACCCTGGTGCAGCAGTTAGGGCGGCTGGTCTCCACGAAGGGATCAGATCTCATGATTACAGCGGCGCAAGACGAGATTCAGAGCTATCAGCGGCTGCGGCGCACGGTCAATGCAACTTATGTGGCGCTGGAAAGTCGTATCCGGCTGGAGATGGCGCACTCCAGGTGAGCATATAAATTCATTGGAACTGAGAGCTATTTTGGCTTGTCTCCGTTGGAGATGTGAACATTTAGGCGAGCATGGCGCCCGTATTCTTCACCTCACGGATTCACTCGTATGTCTTCACAGCCTCACCCGTGGTCGGACGTCATCACGCCGTTTACGCAGAACCCTTTGCCGAATCAACTCGCTTCTATTGGCACATAACCTCCGTGCCCTATGGGGCTATGTTCATACTGACCTGAACCCGGCGGATAAGCCGTCGCGGTGGTCAGTGAAGACCAAGTTTAAACATGCCAAAAGCCGTACTTGAGGGAACCACTCAAGCCAGTAGAGCGAAGGAAAGGCAAAGGTTAGGTACTCTGAGGGGCCTTACGGTCCAACCCGCCACACGCGTTCGATACGATCGTGCTTTGAATCGATTCCTAGCCTTTCTCAAAGAGGAAGGCCTGGAGTTGCCCACTCGCCGCAGTTTTCTAGACCCTCTCGTCATGGAATATATAGAACACCTCTGGCGCACCGGGGAGGGGCGTGGACTGGCCGCCGATACCCTGGCGTCGTTGCAAGACTTTGACGCGAAAATTCGGGGGCAACTCCCTGGGGCTTGGCGCCTAGTAAAAACATGGGTCACACATGAGTTGCCAAACAGGGCACCGCCCATGCCCGAGACCATCCTCCACGCCATGGTGGGATGGAGTTTGTATCATCAGCGTTTCTCATTTGCGACCAGCTTGTTGCTTTGTTTCTATGGCATCCTCCGCACTGGTGAATTGCTTGATGTTACCAAACGCCGAATTGATGTTTCTGAAAGCCTTCGAGTAGCCGTCGTCAGCCTTGGCATGACGAAAGCCGGTAAGAGGGCCGGAGCCCAGGAAAGTGTCACCGTTGAGCATGACACAGCTTTCCGTTACCTGCAACACTGGATGTCTCTTGCTAGCGCACACCAAACGTCTTTGTCCGCCGGCTGCCCGCTGGCGCAAACTGTTTAAAACGTGCGTAGAAGCCCTGCACCTTGAACCCCTAGACCTCAGAGCATACTCTCTCCGTAGGGGAGGGGCTACATGGTGGTTCTGCCAGCATGGAAACCTAGATCGGGTAATGCTTCTAGGAAGATGGCAGGCCCAAAAAACGGCCCGTCTTTACCTAAACGAATCAAGAGCAGTCTTGACGGAGATGCAACTAGGTCCTTTTCAGCAGTTCTTGACACCGTACCGAACTTTTTTCGCCAATTCCACCCCCAAATCTTTTAAAACACTTGAGCCGCTGCAAAGCAGCAGGCCGCCCGCCGGAACTCGGCGGCTCGGGGGAAGTGGAAAGAAGGGTAGAAAATCCCTTAAACGACCTTCCAGAAGCTCGTGAGGAGCGGAAAAGAGGGTCATTTTAAGCTCCCCAGGACCTGGCCAGGGACTGGGGTTTGGCCCGCCTGGTTGGGGGGGACAGGGTTACCCGGGTACGTCCCCTTCTTTGTGTAGTG